TCATGATTGCAGATAAAGTCCCTCTGGATGATGAGTTTAAAAAGTATCTCCTAAGATGCTTCCCTGGTTTGAGTGATGATATAACATCAGTTGATGCTGCACTGGATGCTGTTGAAAGGAAGTGCTCAATCATCAATACTGCCCCACTGGAGGCCATTACTAACCATTACAACATCACTGAAGCAAAAAAAATGGTACAAGAATATAAAAAGTCCATAAAAGAATTCTGCTCTGAAATAAAGGTCAAGTTCATGCTTAACAAGAAGCTGTCACTAGCTGTCAGTTCACTCACTTGTGAGAGAGTGGAGTTTGTACTGGAATGGAAACCTGATGAACATACACTTGATGACATTAGACGTCTCTTAGAGAAAGCATTTGAAGACTTGGGCAAGAGAATTATTGTACGAAGCATTCATCGTGGGAACTCCATCATTATCATCTGTTATGCTCCACATCATTTACTAGCTGCTCTTCTCCTGGAAGCACAAGACAACCTAACTGTCTTGATGAAGGAATTTAGTTTAATTAGACTAACCATTGGCCACTACACTGTCTACAATAAAAGGATCAGATACAAAGTATAAGATACTGTAACTGTATGAGACCTTGTTTAATATTATGTACTGACTATATAGGTATTGAATAATGAGTGTCTTGCAGAGGAGATTAAACTATCTGATGAAGAGGAACAAGAACTAAAGACTTTACTTGATTACAAAGAAGGTATGTGACTGTGAGTTGATCTATTACTCAATTACTCATGGTACTTATACTAATGGTATAGGATCAATATTTGAACAAGATAAACAACTGAATATCATCAAAAAAAGAAGAGGTATAGTTAGTGAATGATAAAAATATTTTTACTTGTATAGATTATATTAAAAGGACACTACAGACACCAGGTATAGAAGCATGTATTAAAGTAATGTGGAGTTGATAATCATTTGAACAATCAGTACAATTATCTTATAAATTAAAATTCTCACTTTGTCATTACTTTAGAGTCTAAACTGAAAGTGAAGCTACTGACTAAAGGGAAATTGATAAATAAAATATTTAAATCAAAGAAATCAGAGACTCAGTATTTCCGAACCTCTCTCCTAATGAAAGCAGGTACTGACTCTGTACTGGTATAATCTGTCTATACTACCTCATCACAGGAAGAGAGGAGGCATTAGTGGAGTATAAGAAAGAGATTGAGTTGCTACAAGAAAATATATCAATAACTAGTGTACAACTGCTGATGAGTCAAAAGGCAAATATTGAGAGTATGCGATATGTTAGTAATTAAATCATTAACTGATTGATATATTGTATAGAGAAGGATCAGTGTACACAATCACCTCCACAGGTTGATGGTATCATTGAAGTACCAATAGTCTATGCTGATGCTCTGATGGATTGCACTGGAGTAGAGCCATCACATTTGAGTTTCAAAGTGAATGATGTCATAGCAATACTGAACATGACTGATGATGACTGGTGGCAGGGGATTGTTGAGGATAGGATAGGCTGGTTCTCCTCAGCCTGGGTCAGGGTAAGTGTACATATACACATACGTGCAACTCTATAATTCATGTAATTAATGATGTTAATAATTAATATTAATCAGTAATAATGGCTCCTAAAGGCAATGAAAAGTTTTTATTACTTTTTGAAAAAATGTGTTTAAAAAAAGAGACAGGCATAACGGAATGTATTATGAATTCTTCTTTAACCCTGGCCTATTATGAAAAAAATTAAGATTTGAAAGTTTACAGAATTAAAGCTGGTTCATAAAGTACATGTACATACATGTACCTTAATAATATTACTGCCTTTTGACCGGAGCAATTTCTAATGTACAAGTAATGTACTTCAGTGTAGTATACACATAAATGTATAATAATTATGTTATTATGATAACTATAGTAAATACTTGTTGTGTGGGATGTAACTGAATCTAATAAATTATTACATTTATTTGTTCATTTGTTGGTGTACATGTATTTTTATGCATCTCTGATTCACATGTACATGTATGTACATGTACATGTACATTTATTTGTGTGTGTGATCAATGTGTGGTATGTGTTTGTGTGTTTCTCTAACAGTCTGTTTGTGTGTGATGAATTACTTCCATATATGTATTTAATCTGTATATGTAGAAATATGATAAGCTATGATGAGTAAACTTTAACTCTTGTTTAGTTGACACGCAAACACTGAAATTATTATTATCACAACATGCATTTATATAGACATAATATTCAATGCATAATTCATAAGTTCTGCATCATGATGAGTCAGCTCACTACACATGTCTCTCTGTGTGTGTCTGTACTATCTGTGTCATGTGGTAATGATATTAGGTTGTTAAGAATTTGTTTCCATTTTACTATATAAACTGTTTAAGAGCTACATGTATGATTAATGAAATAAATGAACATTTATCAATTGTAGAGGAGAGAGAGAGAGGAAGATGGAGGGAGAGAGAGATAAGAGAAAGGGGGAAAAGAAAGAGATGGAGAAAGAAATTTATATGCATGTGTACATGTACATGCATGATTAATGAGTAAGAGAGATTGTAGAATCCTTTAGTATCATGTTAATATTCTTCATGTAGTTGCGTATTAATCAAGAAGACAATGACACCACCTCACTCCATGAAAGAAGTGAGCAGGCAGTATCTTCTTCTCCTGGTCAAGAGTCATCAGGAGCTGCTCCTACTGGATCAAAGGAGAGGAGAGAAGAAGAGAAGTTATCAGGGGCTGGAGAGGGAGAGAGGAAAGATGAGGAAGCCACAGAACAAGATACATGTACTTTGGATGATTTTGA